AGAACATGGGTAGATAGTTGGTGTGTAATAAACAGATGAGAGGCCTCGATGTTGTTTTGATCCAGTCATCTAGCGGAATTTAGATGACGACCACAGACTTTTCTAGACAGTCCAGTGGAACGCTAGCAGGCTCATAACCTGTAGGTGTTAATGAACTTGGGTGTTCATTCGTTGTATTCCATCCCCCTCATGGTTGCCTTATTTGACTTATATTGCTGAGGAACCCACGAAGCATGTGTTGTCACCCCGATGAAATATTCTTAGACTAGGCCCCTTGTGTTAGTTATTTTAGGGACATAAAGTGAGAATAACGGAAATGGGTAATTGGGTTATTGTTGGTTGATAATAATTAATTTAATTATTTATTGTGGGTTGAAAACCCTATATGCTCACCAAGATCTCAAGCCTGACCCACTCAGTTTTATTTGTATTACAGGAGGTGGCGCAAGGGCGTAAGATGGGTGAACCATCAAGTTGTTTTGTTTACAAGTCTGTATATGTTTATATATTTGTTGAATGACTTGTAATGTTATCGTTTATGCTTATTGGTCTGTATCGGAACATGACACCCCGAGTTTTGATTATATAATGAAAATACATTTCTTTTATGAAATGCTTTGGTAAACATTATTTTATCATGTTTTGTTTTTGGGAACAAATTCCGCAACTCTTTCAAATCAAAAGGATTTACTCTGAAATTATTTTAAAAGCATAAATAAAAATCGGTCTTTTCTGGCCGAGATTTTGGGGATGTCACAGACTCGCCGAGTTGTATGAACAACTCGCCGAGTTGTTTGAACAACTCGTCGAGCTGTTGTTGAGATAAGAAGATTGCCATGAACTCGCCGAGTCATGGCATTGACTCGCCGAGTGACTTCATGAGTGAGTCTAGCTTCCGACTCACTGAGTCACACCCAATGACTCATTACTCCCAACCCGCCAATGCGAAAAAGGGGAAACTCGAGGACTCGCGACTTGACTCGCCGAGTCGGCCACCTGCAAAAACTATACACGCGATTATGCTTGGATCCAGCTCATGCCATTCATAGATCTGGGTTCCTAGGGCCTAGTTTACACGTCAAGTTTCCAACTTTACGTGTAAATAAACATCCATGAGAGTTTTAGGACTCAAAATGCACCAAAAAGGGTAGATCTAGGGCTTACATGCACTATGATTCCATAAAGGCAGTAGATCCAAGCTCCTGGAGCTCAGTCATGCCTAGATATAGAGGCTAAACAACTTATCATCCACTCTAATACACAAACAAACTTGGGGAAAGGCTCAAGAAAGACTTTCATGGAACTACAAGGGACAACAAGCATAAAAACAGAGGGAAAATGAGTTATACCTCAAGGAAATCACTGATATAACACCAATAAGCCTGGCCTCCTTCTTCTCTTCTTGATCTACTCTCCTTCCCTCTCAAAATATTCAAGAAAACACACCAAAATGCTTCAATCTCACAAGGAACAAGTTTAAACGGAGTATAGGGCTCTAAGGGTGAATGGGGGCGAGCTTGGGGCGAAATGAGGGGTTTAAATAGGGTGTAAACCCTTGAAATTTAGGGTTTCAACAGATAGCGGTGACTCGCCGTGTCCAAAATATGGACTCGCCGAGTCGCCAACTTAAACGTGTTCCCGGACCCCGTCCATACTCGGCGAGTCGGACCTACAACTCGCCGAGTCCAAGGCTAAAAATGACAAATTCTTAGATAAATTTTACGTACCAGGAACCAAGTGCTACAATGAACATATGATACTCTTAGGATTGCAATCATTAATAAGGTTGCAAACTTTATCAAGATGGACCACTCAAATCATCCCAATAAGGAGAACTAGTTCCAAAAACTTAGATCTAGAAGGAAACACCCATAAGATGAAGGTTTTGAAACTTACAAATGTCCATAATATATACAAAGAGATGTATATTAGCTTGGTTGATGATCCCTTGCTCTATAAGACCTTCATTCTCCCTTCATAGACCATAAATTACCAAAATGAGTTCAAAATTATCACAAAGAGGCTAAGATTTGGTTTTCTTCGTTTGGAGGTGTTGGAGGCTAGGGTGAGAGAAACTCCAGCTACTACTTCCTATAAACAAGGCCAAGGCCTGAGATCTAATGTTTTGAACTCCATACACCAGCGTGTTGTGCAAGGAAACGACCATCGCGTCGTGAACAAAGCCCTACCACGTCGTGGTGATGGGAAACAACCCAAAACCGAAACATTGAAAAGCACAAGACTTATACCTGAAAAAACGGGTGTTACAAAAACTAATTATATGTTATAAAGAGATTTGTGAGGTATTTGTGGAGTGCTTAATGAGAATTAGGTTATGTCAGAGGAATCTTGAAATGACCAAGGATAATCCGCGATGCGAATGTGCGATTGGGTTCACAATTGTTTTATTGCCTTGTGCTCGCGACGCAACCAAAAGCTGGGTCGCGGTGCGTTGACCATTAAGTGTTGGCTCTCAACAGTTGACCGTTGAATTTCTGACCAGTTTGGTCAAATGGGAGGTTTTGAGCTGTATACTGAGTTTTAACCTCTGTTTTGGTTTAGGTGGTTCATGTAGCTAATTCTTCGAGAGTTAGAGTAGTTTGGATTCAGATCTTTAATTTAAGTGAGTCTTCTCACCATAGGACATTAGTTATCATGGTATGCTAGATTGTATTTGTGATTTTTGTATGAAAGACTATGGTGATACCATAATGTAACATCCGGATTCCCATGTATATTATTTTATTCATTTATTTTGGAGTTTGTAGAGGGACTCAGCGAGTTGGTGCTTAGACTCGCCGAGTAGGGTCGCAGATTCTCATATGGGTTCATGACCGGACTCGATGAGTCCACGTTGTTTAATGAAACCCTTATTTCCCGGGTTTGGGACCTATTTAAAGGCCCTTCGGGCCGTCATTTGTGGCTACCAAACCCCAGGGAGAGACCCTAAGAGATCTAGAGCGTTTGTGAGGGAGGAAAGGCCAGTTTTGATCATTTTGTTGGTGTGATTGAAAAAGGAGGTGACCAAGGCAAGATGAGGCTGAAGGAGGAGCGGATCTGGTGATTTCAGAGTTCAGAGACTTCATCTTGAGGTATTTATTCATACTTTCTTCAGTTTTGGTGTTGATTCTTAGAGTTAGGGTTTTCTAACCCCTTTAGAGATTGGATGTGTGGAGCAATTGGTCCCTTCTCGAGTTTATGCTTTGGATCTGGACTTAAAGAGGTCCAGAGACCTTAAACCTTGGAGCTTTATGGGTTATTTTAGGAGTCATGAACTTAGGAGTTTAGTTTTGGGGCTAAATCACCAAGTAGGACCATCTAGATGTTATATGAGTGTCAAGGGCTGAACTTTACGTGAGTATCATGCTTGGGAAGGTCAGATCTATGGATTTAAGGAGCAAATCTAACCTCAGGAGGTCAATGGAGTTTTTGCATGGCATGAACTTGCCGAGTCCAAAGATCAGACTCGGCGAGTAGGGTTAGGGTTTCCCATAAATCACTCAGCGAGTAGACTCACCGAGTTGGGGGAATAACTCAGTGAGTCAGAGAGGGATTAGAGGACTGAAGTTCGAGACGGAACTCACCGAGTTGATCTTGAGACTCGACGGTTGAGTCGGGGTAGCCCCGCGATTCATGCCAGGTGTGACTCGTCGACCAAGGGGAGGGACTCGACATGCTAAGCGAGACTAGGGAGTTAGTGGACACGTGTAGACTCGCCGAGTTGCCCAAGTGCACTCGACGAGTCGGGTCAAAGTTTGACCGTTGACTTTTAGGGTTTGGTCAACAATGAGGGCCTTTGAGCCAAAGAAGGGGTAAAATGATCTTTTACCATTCTGAGGGAGCCTAGAGAGGATTGAGTCTAGTACTGAGAGTTATATTTATAAGAGTATTACTTTATGTGATTAGGTGGAGGCTAAATCGTATTTCTACCGAGTTAGAGATTTACCGAGACATCTGAGGTGAGTCTTCTCACTATACTTTACCTTGAGTGGTAATTAGAGTCATTTGACAGAGTTATTGTATGCTATTTATGTGATGTGTTGCACTACGTTATTTCTATGTGATTTATGCCATGTGTATATCAGAGTTAGAACCGGAGGGTTCACAGAGTTAGGACCAGAGTGTCCATAGAGTTAGGGCCCAAGGGCCCACAGAGTTATAGCATTGAGTGGCTAATATGTGTTATGTGTGGTATTTTGGAGAACTCACTAAGCTTTATGCTTATAATGTTATGTGTTTCAGGTACCAGTGATGATCGCGGGAAGGCGCCGGTATGATTCGTACACACGCATGGGATTTATGTATTTTGATCTTGGGAAACATTTTGTGAAACAAAGTTATGATACAATGAGATTTTGTTAATAAATGTGTTTGAAAAAATGTGTTTAAAATGCGAAAATTTGTTTTAAATTTTACGGTGTTAATAACTATATGAAAGACTACGGTAACACTATAAAACTTGTATGAAAAACTATGGCGAGATAGACTATAGTGGTACTGTAGCAACGATAGTGAGTATATAAGACTATGATTGTATCATAGCATTCACATGATTATGTGATATTTTAGAAAACTAACTAAGATTTGTGGATACTAGTTTAAGTTTAAATGTTTCAGATTGTTCCGACAGTAAAGAGAATGACACGACTTAATTGCATTGCATCCATGAATATATTTTGGAGCCTTTCACATGTTTTATGTCACTATCTTTTATTACATTGATTTTGATTATGGTGAGTCAACTTCCACATAAAGTACATCAACGTGTGAAACCAATTGAGAGAGGGTTATTTGAAGAAAATGGTCAATTTGTTTAATTTAACAAGTTTTCTAGGCCTTGGTTGTTTAGTTTTTTTTTTAGAACTAAAATATTGAAACTTAATTATAATTATTATTATTATTATTATTATTATTATTATTATTATTTTATGAGAAAACCCAACTTCATTTAGCCTTTAAAATTAGTTAAACTTTAGGGACATACATAGTTAACTTTTTCCCGAAGTAAACGTTAAAAGGTACCTCCCGAATTTAGAAAGCCGTAACCCTATTTTCCACCGCAAAACGCTCGCCGCTTCGCCATAAGAATCATAGCTTCACTTCGGTGCCCTAATTTCGAAGGATCGGACCACCAAATTTCTGATTCAGTAACTGCTCTTCAATGGGATCCAAGCGATCTGACTTTGGTGACGGCGCCAGCCCAGGGTTCGTCATCTCACTACAATTCCATAAGTTTTCTCTTAATGTTTTCCTTTGGTTTTACATCTAATTACCAATTGGAACCTAAATCTTGATTGATGAATTCGTTACAGGAAGATATTTATTGGAGGTTTAGCGAGAGATACTACTATAGGTTAGTCGCTACATTTACGATGTGCTTTCGTAAGTTCTCGAAACACCATCTGATCTCTTTATGGTTGCGTGTATATAGACACTTTTGTTAAGTACTTCGGGAAGTATGGAGAAATTACGGACTCGGTTATAATGAAAGATCGACAAACTGGTCGACCGAGGGGTTTTGGGTTCATCACATATGCAGATCCTTCCGTCGTTGACACTGTAATTGCTGAGACACATGTCATAAATGGAAAACAGGTGAGTTAATTGTAGTATGTTAACACCGAATCTGTTCATACAGTAGAACTCATACTGAAATCTGACATTTTTTACACTTGAATTCCCGTTTACATTGCCCTCTTGAGAAAGAAACCGATTGCTGCATTGAAATTACATAGCAATTCAATCTTCACTTAGATTATCTTGTAATGTGAGACTGCTTTCTTAGATTTCTTTTGAAGGGCGGATGCATTAAAACTAGCAAAATGCTAGAAAACAAAGTACAAAAAAGACATTACAAAGATCAAACCAAATAGGGGGAACAACACCAATCGAACCAACAAATAAAACTACAAGGAGATCTACAACAAATATTCTAAGAACTACAAACTATTAGGCTGCATTGATTAATCACATTTAGGTTATTGCTTGGTCGATTTTCCCCAATTGGTTATGACTTAAATAGTTGAATCATGTAGTTACTGAAATGTAGGACCTCTCCAGTTTAACAATGTTTTGGAGATCAAATATGAATCAAGCTCCCTACTTTCTAAAGTCTTTGTGTTCTTGAAGACATTTCATCAATTCTAGTCATGCATAGTTTGTAGTTGAGTGCTAATAATTTTGTTACTAACTGCTTGAATGTATATTTACACAGGTGGAAATCAAGAGAACCATTCCCAAAGGCTCTGGTGATTCTAGGGATTATAAAACAAAAAAGATATTTGTTGGTGGGATCCCCACATCAGTTACAGAAGGTTAGCATGTGAAAATCTTGAATATATAAAAGCTCCAATTATCTGATTCTTGCCATTCTTTTGTGTCCAGATGAGCTTAAAGATTTCTTCTCAAAACATGGAACAATAGTTGAGCATGAGATTATCCGAGATCATGTGACAAAACGTTCACGAGGGTTTGGATTTATTGTATTTGATAGCGAACAAACCGTTGATGAAATTCTTGTCAATGGAAATATGATTGATATGAATGGGACACAGGTAAGTTATATTAAAGATCTTCTATAAGCCTATTAGATGTAGAAAAAAGACACCTTTTTTTCCTTTTTTTTACTGGCTAGAGATGGATGTCCATGGGTTAATAAATAGCTTTACGTGTAGAAAAAAAAAAGAAAAAGAAAAGGTTAACATGTTTATTTGGTGTAGGTTGAGATCAAGAAGGCTGAACCAAAGAAACCCTCAAACCCTGCACCTAATTCATACACTAGGGAACCTAGGGGACGTGGATACACCGATAGTTTTGATGGATTTGATGATTCTTATGGTGGCTATGGTGGTGTAGGTGGTGGTTATGGTCCACCTTCTTATAGGTCTTACGGTGGACTTCCAACTAGGTATGGTGACTATGGGCCATATGGACCTGGTGGAAGTGAGTTTGGTAGTCGTTATGGTGAATTTGGCGGTGATTATGGCGGTTATAGAGGCGGTGGTGGTGGTGGTGGTGAGCCGCCACTTGGTTATTCTAGTCGGTTTAGTTCCTTCAGTGGTGGAGGGTTTGGTGGTGGATATGGTGGTGGGTTAGGTGGGTATGGTCGTGGTGGTGGTGGTGGTGGAGGGTATGGGGGGTATGGTGGGGGGGCAGGGGGTAGTGGCGGTAGTTATGAGTCAGGTGCAGGTTCAGGTTATGGTGGTGCAGGTGGGCCATATGGTGGTAGGGCAGGTTATAGTGGTGGTGGCAGTCGTTACCACCCTTATGGTGGCAGGTAGACACCATCATATCTTTAGCTTCACTTGGATATCATTATCATATCATATCACTCAACTTTTGGTTCACAGAGTTGAATAGACATTAATACCCTTTACAGCAACAAGACACTAGAAGATCAGCATTAGAGAACCAGAGTTGGATTTGCATTTAGTTAATAGATAGAAAAAAAGGCTCGAATTTCTGTGTGTACTTTTTTTGTAAGAGATTATCGTTCTTAGATATGATGTATGTTTTAAGGACACACTTTGTAGGGCATACATACATAACACATACTATCATCATCATGGAAACACATATCCAAGGTTATTGATGTAGGCTTCTTCAGTCCTAGGCCTTGCCTTTTTTTTTTTTCTTTCTCTAAAGTGTTGTTTGGATAAATGATTTATATAAACAACACTTGGGGAGATGGCAACCAAAATTAAGGGCAATTTAGTCTTTTTCTCCTTGGGTTTCTTTATTAAGAAGTTAATTTTACATTAAGACATTAAGTTATAAAGAAACATCCCGTATATAGCCCCTATAAGATTAAGTGTTCATATTATGTCCATTAAGTTGGCTCTCTATTAAGTTCATTTAAGTTAAAAAGTAAACATGTTTTTCTAGTCTTATAAGAAATGTCTTAAATGAGTAGTTAACTATTTGTTTTATTTCTACTGGACACCATTGTTTTAAAAAATTACTACCATGAGGTGAGCAAATTGAATGTTTTGTTCATTAAATATTTATTATGTTAATGGTATTTTGTGAATAAAAAACGTTCTAGTGGCTTAACATAGTACTTCTACAATGGTTTTGTTGTTAAAAAAGTTGTTTGTTACATGTTTATGACTTAAACTAACGTGCACTTGCCACCTGTGAAATGTGGACGAAGAATTGACATTTTCAAGGAAGGCGATCGGATCCTTTGTGGCTAGTTGGTGACTAAATGTATTGTTATTGATGATAAAATGTACCATTTTTTTTTCTTAATTTTATTGTATGTGTAAGTTGAAAACAAAGTTAATGACATTTATTGTCTGACATTATTAATCGATTTGTGTATAATGAAGGTTGAATACTAATTGTATAACACAAATCTATTTCTTTTCTCCAACTAACTGATGGTGGACAAAACTTCAAGAATGGTCTGTGTGTGGTTGGTTCATTTTGGTCCAAAAAAGTTTTGGTTTGCATCAAAGGTCTAAAGTTTTCATTTTTGTTATGAGTTTGGTTCTATTTGTATTGATTTTTTATAAAATGATGATTTTTTTTCCTTTTATATTTTCCTTTTTTTTTTTCTATTTACTTCAAACTCTTCTAATTAAAAGAAAACAAAAAATAAATATTTATCCCTAACCATCTCTCTCTCTCTCTCTCTCTCTCTCTATATATATATATATATATATATATATATATATATATATATATATATATATATATATATATATATATCTTCATTGTCCACTAGAAATGAATAGACGGATGACACCATCTTTTTCGTCGGAACACCACCAAAGACTTATATCACTTTTCTATTGCTAGGAGATTGTTGTAAGTTTATGTTGACAAATGCACACAAATATGTTCAAATGGTTTGTTGTGGCTCCGACGACCTTGAGCTTCATCTTTTCGGATCTGAAGATGGTGGCGACCTTTGGGTTTGTTGTAGCTTTGGCGATGTCGAGCTTCATCTCTATCATTCTCTCACGACGACTACAAGCTACCCGATACAAAAAGAAGCTAGGGTTAGGGTTATCTATGAGAACGTCGTCGGAATCGAAGGATGATCCATATAAGAACGACAAAGTTAGGTTTAGGGTCGTTGAAAAAGTGAAATGCTGCGCCAACCATCCGTTGCTCCTAACCTCATCCAGATTGTCGTCAGAATCAAAAGAGATGTGTCTTCGCCGTCTCTTCAACCTTGTGTTTGTTGGACTCTGATGGTGGTGTTGATTTGTTCATTGGTTCTCAATTTGGATATGTTCTCCTGAGAAGGTGACGTGAAGATGGTGTTGTTTGCTTGAAATTCGACGAAGGGTTTGCTAAGGAAGAGAGATCCTAACGGTTGGTGGTGGTGTTCTGATTCTCCGACGTCCAATAGTTTATGGCGCCTCCTCTCTAAACTTGTTTTTCAAGGAGTGGTGGCGGCGGCATTAGGATTCTCCGACGATGGTGGCGGTTTCTGACACAGTGGCACATGAAAGAGTGTCTTGGGGTGGGCTATAGTTTATTTTATATTCTCTCTTTTGTTTTATTTTTAGTTAGGAAAATTGTTAAAAAAAAATATGAAAACGAAAATATGAAGTGTAAAATCATCATTTTATAAAAACTGAAAATAAAATTAGCCTAAACTCACAACAAAATTAAGATTTGGACCTCTAATGCTAGCTCAAAATTTTTTATATCAAAATGATGATTTTAAGCTAACCACAAAACCATTCTTATAGTTTTGTCTTGGTGATTTTTATTTTATTTTTATTTTTTATTTATTTATTTTTTGGACGAGTCATGTGAATTGTGGTCAAAATAGTGAAGACATAAGAGGTGGGAAAGTAAATTATTTTTATTTTTCTTGTTTGTTTTGTATTAAAACGAAGGGAAAAGGGAAAATATTGAATTTCATTTCCTTCATTTTTATTCTTAAAAGGTGGGAAACAACACGAGAACGCATCCGATAAATAGAAAAAAGAAACGGAGAATTTTGTGAAACAACCAACTCTCCACATTTCGGTTCATAAACCTCACATTCAGTGATATGTTTTTTTATGTCTTCAAAGATTATTTATCAACATATAAGATGATCAAGTAAATGACTAGCCAATCTTTAACACGTGGCTCAAATGGAGAAATCTTATGGATGATTAAGCAAAATATGTATACACCTGGAGAGCATGGAAAAGAGACTATGTGTAAAGTAGGAGTCAATATGTTTATTATAAAAACCATTAATTTATATCTAAAGTATTTTTGTTAATGGCTAATATAATCATCGTACGTTTTTTTTTCTTAATACATCTCTTGATTTTGTGTACTTGTTACAATATATACATATCTAGATTTTGATAAAAGAGGGTTTTAGTAATATGCCGCCAAATTGAATTATGTCTCTAAAAATGAAGCTAGAGGTTGCGACCATTCTTAAGAACCAAAGGCTAGGTATAAGGAATATAGGTCTTAAGATTCATCTTTTTTTTTTTTTTTTTTTTTTTTAAATATAAAATTACTATAGAAATTCTATAAGAACCTATTTTTAAAAAAATTTAAGATCTACCTTACCTATAATTTTTTTTGAATTTATACAGAAAAATATATATAAAAAAATTAATAAACTATATAGTTTTCTATTTTAATCCACCACTAGCTATTCTAGACTTCTCAAGAAGCCATATATCAATATAGGGAGAAATGAGGTTTTGCTCCCCCTTACAATATAATAGGAATAAATAAATAACGAGTTTGAATTCTGTCACCTTTCTTGTAGACCATCCTCAAACCACAAGACGATGGGAATAACAAAACATAAATTTTGAAATGAGCACGTCAATATATGAATATTTTCATTATTCGTTATTTTCGGGTCTTTCAATTTTAATGTGATTAATAGTATATGCATATGATATAATCACCTTTGTAACAATGGATTTTAAGAAATAGGAAGCAAGAAAATTAATAAGTGTACGATGTGATAGATAAAAGTAAATTTTAATGTGAAACAAATTAAAGGGTTTTGATATGAAGCCTTTTAGTTTGAAATTTTTTTGTCCGTTTTGTTTATATGATGATTTTTTGTTTGTTAATATCCAAAATTTATTAAATTTATTTTTATTTTTTATTTTTTCCCTTGTTAAGTTAATAGCAGGTTTATAAGTAAATTGTTACCGTTAAATTAAATTTGTAAAAATCATTGACTTTGCAATTTTTTTATATTTTTATCGTACTATACGTATTCATACAAAAAAATATATTTATATTTTTTTACTAAACATATAAATACGTTTTAAAAAAAACTTAGGATAAGAGATCAAAAGTTTTGTAAACTTAAGAGGTTCTTTTTGTGTAAACATTGGTTTAATGATGACATGGAAACCTGTAGTTGCCATTACAGGTAAGAGCAATCGGTATGGGCCAAACGAGAAACAATGCGCCTGACGTGGCGCTTGGTGACGACGGCGTAATGGGGGGAACACCGCCCCCTCCGCTCGTTGCAACTCGTCGAAGGTGGATCTTGTTGGCGTCACGACGAAAAGAAACGAATGAATTGTGACCGTTTGAGTCTTTAAATTGCAACGGTTTGAAAAAAAATTAATTATTAAAAAAAACAATTTATCTTATAAATATCTCCAATTTTATTAAAAATTTCACAGACTTTCTCTTCTCCTCTCTACATACTTTCAATTATCTTCAAAAAAAATATAGGTCATTTCGACTCGTCCGATTATTCAGATGACGATATTTTCTTTAGGATGATGTATCATTATTACACTACCGACCTGCTACAACCAGACCCAGCCCCGCTACTAACAAGACGTGCGATGTTAAACATAAATCGCGAGGAAGGACATAAACATCTATATCGTGATTACTTTGCGGATAATTGTGTATACGGGGCGAAGGACTTCAAAAGAAGATTTCGTTTGAGTAGAGATGTGTTCTTACGAATTGTCAACGCCTTGGAAAGCCGGTATCGTTTATTTACTATATTTTTATACAAAATAAATAAAAATGTACTGCATGTTTGTCACACCCCAAAACCACGAACGGCGGAAATGTTCAGGGGTGGAGGACGTCATGTACAGTATCACAACAGTGTAATATAATAAACAAGCAACAACATCATCCATTGCATTATAAGTAAAGTTTTAATACATGTGTGTTTCTTTCATTGTAGTAAGACACCAAAAATATACAATCATAATAAATAACGAGACTTGTCTGCTCCGTCTTCTCAAAAACCTGGCCTCCGTACCTGTCTACTGATGACCTGAGAATACCAGTTATTTTGAAAGCGAGTATCAGCTTTAAAGCTGGTGAATTCATAAGTATATAAGTGTCATTGCCTTGTTTGTGAAAATCTGTTATAAAGGCCATGTAAATCGTTAAATGAAAATGTTGCTGTACGTATGAAAACCCTAGAAAAACCCTTATT